ACAAAGAACCACTCATCTATTCAGAAGAGTCGAGCCCCCAAACACTCTACTAACTGAGCTATTGCCATCCTACTCTACTACTACTGCTGCTACTACTACTACTACTACTACTACTACTACTGCTACTGCTACTAAATGGTAAATGGTCACATTTTTTATAGAGCGCTTTATCGCCTTCAAGGCATTGACGGCGCTTTACAACAGGGAACCACTCACCCATTTACACACATTCATACATCAGCGCACACAGACACTGGGGACGAGATGGTTTAAGTGTCTTGCCCAAGGACACAACGGCAGCATTCATTTGTGGGAGCTGGAATCAAGCCGCCAGGATCAGTGGACAAACGCTCTACCAACTGAGCTATCCTACTACTGCTACTACTACTACTACTACTACTACTACTGCCATAACTATAAAAACATAGCTCATACATAAACACAGTGTAATAATACAAGTGATTCTACATATCAGTTATTCAGATGCAGCTAAATCAGTGCTGCCCTAACTTTTTTTCTGGGGACCCATATTTTAAAAGTCATAAAAGTCAAAGGGGTGAGCGGAGATGCCGTGCACGCAAAAAAAGTGAGGAGCGGGGTGTGCGCGGAGATTTGTGTATATTGCTGACCTACATGCAGATCGTGACAAGGCGACCCCCAAAAAAATCTGCTGCCACCCAGTCTTTGGGAAAAAATTATCTACTGTAAACTAAAAACTAAATTTAAAAGAGCTGTAGGCTTTATTCAGGCTTATGTCACAAACCAGGAAGACATTTGGAAGCATGTGATGGCAACTTCCAGCGGGGTCTGTTCATCGTAGTAAGTCTGACAAATCTAGGAAAAATGAGAAAATGTCCCAGTTTTCTTCATCTACATGTCATTGTAGTGTTCTGTTACGTTCCACTAATCAACAATTACAACTAGGGCTGGTATCATTAAGAAGTTGCCGATACACATCTCGATACAGTGCACTTTCGATTCGATATGATATATTTCAAATTGATTCGATACGGTTCAATAAAAAATAAAGGCTAAATCATGGCTGTGATCCTAAAAGTCTTTGTTAAACCATTTCTTGTGCAAAGTTCACATGAAACACAAACATTTTAATCATCAAAACAGTAAAAATATCAAATGTGTTGCATAAATGAGCTTCCTTTCACTCCACAAGCAACAAAACTGTAGCTCTGTAACTAAATAATTTAGTAAAACACACCTAAAAATACGCTTGGTGATATATCGATACGGTAGCCCACGATATGGATACTGTATCATCACATTAAACAATACGATATATCGATATTCCGATATTTTTTGCACACCCCTAATTACAACCGTACCTCAGTTTTCATCGTTTCCCCTCTGACACACGACTCCGAGCGCACTGGGTACATGCGATTAGAAAAGATGAGGCGCCAAATTCAAGATGATTCCGAACAACATGATTCAGACCACACATGATCACGTTTACGTCCACGGTTTTATCACGAGCCCAGAGTCGGGAACTACCACCAGAAGTTGTAATCACATTTCCCAACGTCTCCCTGCTTTGTGACCTAAGCGTGAATTATAGACTATTGTTTTCAACCTCATTTGAACTGCTTCACTCCTCTCAACTCAGTGACCGCGCTGACTACTTCACACTCGCTTGCAACATACAGCAGTTTAGTGGCGTCCTAGAAATAGATACCGTTTATTTTGAGTTACAAACTGTTAAAAGTATTCGAAAAGTAGTTCCTAAAAGCTGAATAAATACATAATATAGGGCCTTATCATGTTTCAGTACTAATATAGAAACTGCGTCCGCTGGTGTATTTCTGATTCAGAGCCTCAGCTGTTGTCGTAGTAACGCCCTGTCATAAAGATGGACAACTTCACTTGTATTAATCTAATCTGACGCGCACAGACCCCGCCCCCTTCAAGGTCGTGACCTTTATCAAAACAGGTCTTAAATCTGCTTTAAGTATTCATTTGGGAGCTGGTAGGTTGCTGGTTCTAATCCTGCTTGAGCTACTTGTGTCAATTTGTCCTTGGGCAAAACACTTAACGCCTCTACTGTCCAATCAGTAACTTTAATGATATAAAAAGAAAGAAATGTGCAAAAATCAGATCCTTAAATATGCACTATGTATATTTTTTGGGGCGGTTGAGCGTCCAGCACCTGCTCGAAAATATTCAGTTTTGTCTGTAATGTTGCACAGTATAGCTTTAACCTTCTATGGGAACAAGCAGGTGGAAACTAGGCCAAGTTTTAAGTCAGATCTGTGGACTTTTTAATGTGGAGGAAAAACAAAAACAACTACCGATCGATAATGTGTGAAAAGAAATGTTTCGAGAATTTAAACCTGCAGTAAAAGTCAGATTTTCTATGTTTTAGAAGCAAAAACATCTTGTCATAACTACTAAAATCCAAATTAAATCTCAATAAGTACTGATAAATAGTATAGTTTCATAATAATAATTTAATTTTAACATTGCGTTGTTCTTCTTTGTCTTGCAGTCATGGCGACGATATGATTGTAACACCATTTGCACAGGTAAGATTTCATAAACATGACACTGTATTGTTTTGTATATTTTCATGTGTTGTTTTTTACGTAAACTATCTCTTTTAACTTCTATTCTTTTGCTTTCAGGTTCTGGCCAGTTTGAGAACCGTGCGAAACAACTTTGGTGCATTAACTAACCTCCAACAAGACCGAGCCTCCAATAAGTAAGTGTTTCTTTGCAGAACATGAACTTAGACTGTAGATTTTGTCAAGGAAAAGATGTAATGATTGTCTATACCAGCCCACCAGCTGCTTGTGCACTATCCTTTCTGTTAGACTAGTTCGCCCTCTGCTGTTTCCAAGTGGTATTACAACAATATTACAAATTGTCCATGTACAAACTGCAAGACTACAGCAATCTCACAGAAGAATACAAGAGTGTTTGTGTTGTAATTTGCTGTATATTTGTATTTTATTTTTCAACTTTCAATCCATTTTTTAACAGATTTTTTTAACAGTCTTTTTGTCAAGTAGAAGTATGAAAGGCCTTGTATTTAACTTTATTTTGTTTAGGAAAATGTTACTTTGCACTTTGACATGTTTTTAAGCAACCTTTATGGGAAAGTGAATGACAAATGAGCAAATGTAAAGCGACAATTAAGTGTGATCCGCCGTGTCGTCCAATCAGGTGAACTGTTGGACAAGTGATTATCCCACATTTGTGTTTTCTTTATTATTTACAAGTCACGTTTCTCCCTCATGGCTCAAAATTGGGTACATGGATATTTAGACTTGTACTGATTCAAGAAAAAAAAAGTATTGTTGCTTCAAAATGCACATTATACAATACTTTATAACATACATTTTGGTGACTACTACTAATACTAACACTGCTATATATTCCATTGTAGTGTGTTTTTTGCTTGAGAATGAAGTTTTTGTTGCCATTTTTGTTTTCTGAATGTAAAATGTGTTTTGTCTTTGACAGGAGATCACCCATGTGCAACCCGCCCCCCATCACCAAGACCACCTTTACGGGTGAGTTTAAGAAAGGATATTATTGGACTTCAGTAATACTTTGGTGATACTGACTTGGTTGACGTGATTACAGTGGTGTTTCATGTTTGACCTGAGTTGAATTTGTATTGACAAAGGACAGACATTGCTCTTTTTTACTTTACGTATAATGCTTGTCTGTGTGGTGACGTTATTGGCTTGAAAAAATGCAACATAAATAAGTTTAATGCTGCGCTGTCGAACATTCTTGTCAAAGCAATAGCATCACCATGGAGACGTTACTAGTACTTACATAATTATAGAAAACTTGTTTAATTAACTTCATTTTTAGTTGTTTTGAAATTTTGATTCGTGATGATGGACGAGTTAGAATGAATCTGTAGTTTGCGATTCGTTTTTGTGTGAGATATTTATGGCTGCATTTTTTCTAAATTTTTCTAAAAGAGTGAGACAAAGGAATCAATATAAAACAACAATTTTTAGACCCCATAGCCCTTCTCTCGTCTGCCATGCCTTTCCCTCCTTTTTTTCTTCCTGTTCCCTCCCTTCACCTCCCGTCCCTCCGTCCATCTTCCCTCCGTCCCTCCCTCCCTCCATCACCCTTCCCTCTTCCTTCCTCCATCTCCCCACCCTCCATCTCCCTCTCCGTCCCTCCCGCCATCTCCCCTCCCTCCCTTTCCAACTTCCCCCTCCTTCCATCTCCCTCTTCATCCCTCCCTCCATCTCCCGTCCCTCCACCACCCCCTTTCCACCTCCTCCCTCTTTCCATCTCCCTCTCCCTCCATCTTTCCTCCCTCGCTCCATCTCCTCTCCCGCTCTCCCTCCATCTCCCCTCCCTCGCTCCCTCCTTCCATCTCTCCCTTTCCCTACATTTCGCCTCCCTCCCTCGCTCCCTCCCTCCATCTCTCCCTTCCCTACATTTCCCCTCCCTCCATCTCTCCCTCCCTCCGTCTCTCCTCCCTCGCTCCCTCCCTCCATCTGCCGTCCATCTCCCCTGCCTCCCTTTCCATCTCCTCCCTCCCTCCCTCCATCTCCCTCCCTCCATCCCTCCCTCTCCCTCCATCCCTCCATCTCCCCTCCCTCCCTCCCTTTCCATCTCCCCCCTCTCTCTCCCTCCCTCCATCTCCCTCTTCATCCCTCCCTCCATCTCCCTCCCCTCCCTCCATGTCTTCTCCCCCTCCTCCATCTCCCCCATCCTCCATCTCCCTCCCTCCCTCCATCTCCCTCCCTCCCTCTCCATCTCCCCTCTCTCTCTCCCTCCCTCCATCTCCTCTCCCTCCCTCAATCTCCCCTCCCGCTCTCCCTTCCTCCATCCACCACCTCTCCCTCTTCCTCCCTCCATCCCCCACCTTCCCTCCCTCCCTCTTTCTCTCTCTCTTTCCCTCCTTCCTCCTCCCTCCCTCCCTCCCTCTGTCAGCGCTCACTCCGCTCCGGCTCCGCTCTCTCCCCTCCGTCTCGCTCCGCTCCGCGTTTTCCCCTCCGCCCGGCGTCTGAGCAGCGCTGTGGCCTCTCCGAACGCCGGTGTCTGATGTCGCACTAAGCATGAGAAGAATGCCATTGACGTCAGTGCAGTCCGCTGTCAGAAAGAGTAGCACCCCGCTCGGCTCGGAGAGGGGGAGAGAGGGAGGAGAGGAGGAGAGGAGAGGGAGGAGAGAAGGAGGAGAGGGAGAAGGGGGGAAGGAGGAGCAGGGGGCAGAGAGGCAAGAAGAGAGGACAGGCCGGGGCAGAGACAGTGGAGGTGTTTGGATGTAATAGGCTCGTGTAGACAGGTTATATGGAATCTATAGACAAATAAAGCTCTGGTAGTAAAGGTCACTGTCATTGTATTATAAAAAAAATTTTTTGTATTTTGTGCATGTCAAGTTATTTGTGGAAAAAAGTATATTATAATTTGAATACCATATGTTGCTTGAATTCAAAATACATGATTTCATTTGAGTGATTTGACTATAAAGTAGAAGAAAGAAGAGACAATAGAGACAGAACAGAGAGGGTTGGATGTACGGATTTGCTCATTTACACAGGTCTTGGTGGCCAAATGCATTTTAGACACGATCTATATCAGTGTTTCTCCAACTTTTTTTTTTTTTTTTTCCTGTGGATCCATATTTTAAAAGTCACAAACCTTCAGGACCCAAGTCAGTAGACATTATTCGTAAATTGAAAGTGGATTTGACCGTTATTGAACATTAATGAGGATATTTTATTGTTGACTGAGTGATCGTGTCTCTCTGAACAATTAGTGTTACTCAAGTTTTAAACAATGAAAAACAGTCATTGAAGCAGCAATAAAAGGATCCATAAGTCGTCTATTTGGACATTAAATGTCGCCCATTTCTTTTTCTTTTCAACACTCATTCGAACCAGCAATATCGGAACAAAATAGTCAATAAAATAATTATGAAAAGATTAGAAATTATACAAAACGTGTGTTAACGTTTCAACATTTCTAATGAGATAGGTGGGCCTCTCTGCATTTTTGTAGCTTATTCCAGTCCAGGGTGCAGGAGGAGAGTGCAGCAGCAGATCAGGCGCAGCATTCAGCCAAAGATGTTCATTTTGTCTTCTCACGTACTTTAACTTCTTGGGTTCTTTTTAAAGACAATACAGTAAAGTGTTTTTACATTGTTGACATGTTTTCAGCTGTTAGCTGCAGTTCTGAAGATGGCCTCCAGCTAGCAAAAACATGTCAACAAGATAAATACACTTTACTGTATTGTCTTTAAAAAGAACCCAAGAAGTTAAGGCACAGCATTCAGTCTGTTTCTGCTTTGTCTTCAGTCTGCCAGGACTGTATATTGCAGATTTACATGCAGATTGTGACAAGGCGACCCCAAAAAATCTCTTGCGACCCACCTGAGGGTTGTGACCCAGTCTTTGGGAAACAATTATCTATAGAGACATGATGTGTGATGGTAAAGTTCCTGGAGTTGTATTTATAATGGTTTTCTGAAATCAAGTAATTTGTGAAAAATGTAGGCTGTATCATAATTTGAATATCTATCAAATGTTGCTTAAAAACATTCAATTAAAAAATACTATAAAAAATTATTTGATTTAAGTGGTTTGACTAAATTAGAAGAAGGCCCAGGAAGAGACATTAGATTTAAGGTGGTAAGATTTAAGGATATGCCAATTTAATTTACACAGGTCTAGGCAACTATATGCATTTTAAATCGGATCTTAGGAAGTAAAGGTGTGATCGAAAAGGTCGCTGGAGTTGCAAGAAAAACATGGTTTGCGCATTTTATTAAGTTAAAGGTGCACTGTGTAACTTTTCTGGTAGAGCTTCCACCATCTGCTTGACTCCTTTTACATGTTATTGTTCTTTTCTTGAAATATTCTACAATATGGCATTTAATTTAATTTTCTCTCCACGGAGACAAGCAGGCCACATCACCAGGCCAAGATACAGGCCAGATCCATTGAGAAATGGGCCTGCTCACAGTAAGAATGTCTTTGTGGTAGTTGTGAGAAAAAAAAAAAAAAAAAAACAAAAAAAACATGTGTAAATGAATAAGTACAAGACATATTTGTTAATGCCATACTGTGGAACATCCCAGGCAAAGCAATGACATCCCCAAGTAACAAGCAGATGACAGACTCTCCAACAGAAACAGAAAAGTTACACAATGTACCTTTAAAGTTGGGTTTGTGAAAAAAATAGATATATAAATTGGTGCGTTATGTTATACAATAGTCATGTATATATTACTGTTTGATTTCAGTAGTTTGAATATCTGAACTACACTTATATATAAAAGGGGATGTCCCATTTTTTTCATGCAGGAAAGAAAAACTCTGCACCTCTTGAGGTCAAAATGCGACCGTTTTGTGCTGTCTACATCTAATTGTTAAGTTATTATTAAGGGTTTTATCATCTGCAAACCAGGAAGTAAGGCTGGAGCTCTGTTAGCATGCTAGTTGTTGTTAGCAGCTGTTAGTGGGGTAAATATTTAGGATGCTATGAATGATTTAACAAAAGTGAGGAATAACTTTGTCCCTGTAAAGCCAGTTTTAAAAGAAGAGGATATGTTTTTATCATAGCAGTGATGGACAATATATCAGTACTGTCTTTTGTATTGTGATCGTGAATGGGTTCATATATCGTAATTGGTTATGTTTCCAAATATGAGGGTTTTACTAGAAATTTACGTGTAGTAACTTATTACAAATGTAGACTGGTTATATTAGGGGTTATTTTATTTGAGACATGACGTAAAATGGTGCAGCGTTTAGTTGTTGAACATCCATTAGGTTCTCAAACCTTTCTGTAGGTGTCTGTTTGTACGGGTTCCCTAATCAGGCTGGCGCCACCTAGTGCCTCCGCTTAATTTCATTTCTCTCCAGCGACTAGGTCAGGAATCAAAATACACTAGACAGTTAGTAAGGCGAGTCCGGGCACCGGCCAATCAGCGAAGAGCCATACATTCTGTGTTCGCAACGATTCCCGAGATCAAGGATTTAAAGCTGGAACAAAGAGAATGTTTCGTGAATTTTATCAAGGGGAAAGACATTATTGCTCTTTTTTCTACAGGATTTGATAAAAGCTTAATATACCAGTTAGCCCCGTTAGAGGTGCATTACATACATCACGACCAAATGGCAGCGATTGGTTAAATTAAATAAAAACTACCCACCTACCGTTGAGCGCACAAATTCTAATGCCGCGAGGTCAGATGAATCAGGCTACGGTTTCCCTACAGTCTGTATAGTTTTCATTTCAAGACTGGACATAGACAGGATTAATGACAGAAGCCTGTATTTGAGAACAACATACTGAATAAAATGGCAATTTTGAACGTAATACAAAAATTACTTGTGGACCTTGTAACCCCACAAGTTTAGTCTTAAAGCTGCACTGTGTAACTTTTTGGTTGGGTGTACGTCACCTGCTTGTTTCTATGGATAAAATGTCATTGCTCTGCCTGGAATATTCCACAGTATAACATTAAACAGCTCAACCTTACATTTATTCAATTACAGGTGGTTCTGGAGCTCAAAAATGCCTAGAAGGTTTT